CCTTTAATAAAAAAATCTTAACGTTTTGGGAGTTTGGTATTATATATGTTAAGGGCACATAGCTCTTCACTTATTCAGGTCTATACATCCTTAACTTTAATTTTTGGGTGTTGAGCGTTTCTGATGGATGTACATCTAGAAAAACTCTTCGGGTGCACGAAATTATATAAAGTGTTATTTATATTTTGTATGATAAGGACCATTTATTATTATCTGGCGACTGATATTCCAAAAACAGAAAAAATCTTAAATCATATCAAACTTATGTTAACTCTATTGTGAAATGAATATAATCTAGACATTTATAACAAAATCGGTAGTTCTGAAATCACCATAAATTCATAAATATGTTTAAACTGACACATAAGCCTAAAATTAAAGTTTTGCATATAGCTTTGTTTTGCAAAAAAGTCAAGGTCTTACTCCTAAAAACTTTTTTCCCACAGTAACATCTTTGTGTTAGATCTTGTGGCAAATATCATTTGATTATAAAGCCCTTTCTACCTAAATGTCAATGACAAGGTTTCACAGTTCGCTATTTTAGCAGTTTAACATTAAAGAACATGATATAAGTTTGAAGCACTACGGATTAAAAGTGTAAGACACGACTTGAATAATAAATACTGATATCTGACGGACTAATGTCTCGTAATGATCTGACTGGTGAGATTTGATAGATGTTTTTAAAAAGTTTTCCAATAGTAATAAAGTGTCCTTTTCATATCTGTGCCAACATTTATTCAGTGAATTACTAAGTATAGATGGTAGTATTTTAACATTTTCAGGTCATTTTAAAAGAATGTCTTCACTTTTTCTGTCTCGGCACGATAGTCTTCAAGGTGATGCCATTATTAAATGCCGTCGAAGTGTGTGCCTATCTGTCAGGAATACCATTAGTGCCTTCCTTTCTTCATTCCATATCATACAGAAAGAAATGTTTCTTAGGCGGAAGACATCTTTGTAAACAAATGTTAAACATTTTGTCGATTATCTTGCAAGCGGCAGCCGTATTTGCGGTTCCAATATACAAAGTGACCAATGACCAGATTTCTTCCGCAGACACATTCCTGATGATATTCTGTGCTGTTTGTTTCAGTGTCCGATGGTTTGAGACATACTTTAAATATTCTAGAGAGTCATCATTCTTTAAGAAACTGTTTGCGTATGAAGATAGGGAAAAAACTCACGCAGCATCCTCACTAGTGACAAGTTTATTCCGACTGGTGTTAGCAGTAGCTCTTTTCCCTACATTTTTCTCTCCCGGAGTTACAAACCCAGTAGAAACTTTCTCTTCCCGGCCATTATCCGTCTTAACTTCAACTGCCATCCCTACGCCTTGTTTAGATTTATCCCAGAACACAACAGTTCAATTACAAAACACAACAATTCTTCCATGTAACCTTCCATCGTCTAAAGCTTTTGTTGACGATTGGCTACTTTATCCCTTTTTGATTCATTTTTTCACGAGTATTGGATTGTTCTATGGAGCAATAATATCGACTAGACTCTGCATGGACAAAGTATGTTTTTGTGTAGCTTTAACCTTTGGAACACCGGTATATGTAACAGGAGTGTTTGTTGCACATATTATAAATGAACCAAACTGGGTTTCTAACACGCTCATGTCAAAAGAAGTAACAGACACAGGGGTGTATACCATGCTAGTAGTATTCATAATAGCTTGGTTGTCACAGCTTTGGATCTGCAGACATATCTGGTATTCATCACATGATAGAATGGCTTTTGTTAGCAGGTATGTTAAGTAAGCCAGAAAGATGGTTGAAAAAATACTATAGATATTTGTATTCCCCTTTTTAATGCAGAAAGGGAAATCGTGGATATAAATATTTTTATCGGCAGTATTCATTTACATATTGAGTAAAACATTCAGTAGGTACCCTTACAATACAGGTAAATGCCATAGACTATTATACCAATCTTCCAGATGAAACAGTTTCTACATATGATCAAATTATCTACTCACTCGTAAAAAGGAAAAATGTATAACGAGACTGATATTAGTATAACTTTGTCGAAACATGTCTTTCAGTTAATATTAAGATATAAGTCACTTCATAAACAAAATAAACATATATATCAGAGGTTATATTTATCTTTTACATTAAAAATCAATATATCTTTATCTCAGAGGTTATCGTTATCTTTAACATTAGAAGTTAATATACTTTGAAGCGTCTACTTTGGAATGTCTGATAACTTGTTATGTAATGAAACAATGTCATTAATTTCGATAGCAGGATTTCGGTATTCCTTCTTGGTCTACACTATTTCCATGTATATTTTAATTAAGATACATTTTGTATTTGATAATTGTAATATAGGATTGTCTTAAATTCTTCAATCTTGTTCATTTAAATAATTTCATTGAAACTTATTATAGAGATTTTTTTTTATCTCACGCACAAATACATTCAACCCATATCCATATTCTTACTATGACATGAAATGACAGAACCAAAAAATCAACATCACATGTTCATCAATTTATTTGAACTGATTAATAATGGAAACGAACGTATCTAGCAGTACATCTAGTTTATCCATTTTACTTATTCCTAACCTTCTCTTACTTTTCATGTGGATAACTTTGCTATATATGAATCCAAGGTTGAAGTTTGAAGTTTGAAGTTTGAAGTTTGAAGTTTTACTTTCTCAAAGCCATAAAAAGTCAAATAACAAAAATATCGAACTCCAACAATTAAAATCAACGGAAAGTCCCTTATTAAATGGCAAAATCAATGCTCAAGCACACCAAACGAATGGAAAACAACTGTCATCTTCCTGACTTGGTACATTTCCTTATGTAAAAATGATGAATTAAACCTGGACGTATAACAACCATTTGAATGCATTACAACAGTATAAATAAAATGCAGCAAGGCAGAAGAAGCAATAATATACCGTAAATAGTATTTCATCTTGCCAATTTACAACTGATAATTTAATTCTAAAATAGATATATTAAGGCCAATTTCTCTTACCTTATTCCACAATAAGACAGTTTTCAAAAAGTGTCCAAAATTCAGAGTATGACAGTATGACAAGTTCATGTATGTTCTTCCGATACATGTAATCAAAGTTTACATACCCAAAGATGACATTTGACCGTGTGAGTGAAATAAGTAAAGAGGAAAATTAACATAACTTCTTCTGATGCCAATGTTTGGTGTCTAGAAGTCACGTTTGTTTTTAATTCCTACAAAAGCTTTGCGCATACATCATGGGCATGGATTATTAAAAAATACTGACATCAGGTATGAAATAGTTATGACAAAAACAAATTGTTACCTTGAAGGGAGATTAGGCATACTCTTGTTTCTAAAAGTGAAGAAGAAATAGATCCCTGATCATTGTATAGGTTAAAATCAAACAATAAAATACAACGGACCAATTTATCTTATTGCATACGGCTGAAGTCTAAAAATTTAGACAGTGTTATTTGTGTTTTTGATACATGACAGTCACATTGTTAATATCAATATCAGTTCTATAAAACAATATTTTAGACTAAATAGAGAAATACCATTCTTATGTATTATTTTCCTGCTGCCCCCATCTCTCAGAAGTTCAAAGCTTTTTGTCTGCGATATATCGGTTAAACAACACGAGCTTACAAGAATTTCAACCTAATTCGTCGATAATAAATATCCTTTCTATGTTTACTTTAATTAAGAAGTTTAAATTCGAATATAATAATTTTATATAAAAAGAAGATGTGGTATGATTGCCAATGAGACAACTCTCCAAAAGAGACAACATGACACAGAAATTAACAACTATAGTTATATTTTCAGACTTTTTGTTCTGCCTCACTACTGTAGTCCTGTTGCCGACCTCTCACTTCTTCACAGCAGACGACACAAATCTAAGCATCAATTTGAGGATACATACCAGGATGAAGATTCTGTCAAAACAAAAGTATATATTTGTGCTACGATGTGGCACGAGAACAGAACAGAGATGAAACAGATACTTAAAACTTTATTCAGGTTGGAAATATGATAAGAAATAATCATAAAACAGTTAAAAGACTTTTAGATGACTTGTAGAAGTCTTCTAGTTTTTGTGTGTGTCTTTGAGGTTTGTTTTCTCATTTTTGTATACCCAACTTCCAAATGTATTCATATTTCCACAAGCAGCATACAAATATAAGAAGAGAAGGACGTGAAATGACATGTTCATGTCAATTTATTCGGCCAACATCCTCTCTGGCGACGTCAAATAGTTCGTCAACTTAACAATACACATGGAAGAGACCGTATTAATCAAGAAAGTAGCATGAACTTAATATTTTTTTTTGGTGTCGTTTACAATCATATTTTCATATACTCAACATTCATAAAGAAAATTTAACCATAAACCATGTTCCTCTTATTATAAATATAGTTAAGTACAACAAGAGAGGATATGTCACTGAGATATCAACCTGACAACACACAATAATAAACAACTTAAGGTCAACATGCAATAGAAGACATTGTTTTTAGATTTTCTAGTGCTAAAACCTTTTAAATCGGTATCAATGGAATACCAATTGTTTAACTTGTATACCGTTATCAAAATGTCAACAAAAGGACTTGAGTACACACTATCGACTATAGACGACAAAAGGGAAAAGACCAAATAACACCGTATTCGATATTGTTCGAAATTACTGAATACAAGCTCAGAGTAGTAAATAAGGATATTTTTTCACTGGCAAAATTCTTAGTGGAGAGAATTTCAGTACATAAAAGTAGGAAATAAAACATTATCTTGTTTCGTGTGAGAAAGTAGTCAATGAGCGAATAGATATTCACCCAAAAATAAAAGACGAAATGATTTCACAATCACCACTTAAAATTACAGATATACACGTTCATCTGTTTGTCTACACCATATCCGTGATGTACGTAAAATTTAACGTCTTTTAATAAAAACCACGAAAAAATGATATAAAAAAAATAATATCAATCGGTGAAAATATGTTTTATTTGAAGACTTGATATTGACCAAGCTGCACGATCTATAGCTAAGAATGAAGTGTCTTTATCAGCCAGCACTGAAAGTGTGTTTGAATCCGGACTGGACAAGAAAGCTGTTATGAGAGACTATTATGAATTTGAAGGTATATTCATTCATCTGTAGGTTAATGTAAACAAAGCAACTCTTACATTCTAGGGTCAGTGAAGGTTCAAGCTATATACCCAAAACAACACTAAAAAAGTGTCAAACAAGTAACAAACATGATGTTGTTGATATGTTTCTACTGCTTTCAAATCATAAATGAGGAGGAGGTCATAAATAAGAGTAATGAAGATTTTATATTTTTGAAATTAAAATGGGGTTCTTGATGATTGGTGCCCTTGGTATAAATTTTTCATAATAGTTGTTTCTGAAGTAATATTTTCATAAGCTTTCATTAGCGGTAAAAATCTATATAAGATTATAAAGAGACAAGACAAGTGTACATAATATATGAAGAGGTGTGATATAATTCCAAAAATGTTAGGACACATTATAGAGTGTTAAATGATCCATTCTGACCAAGATATAAGACATACAATATGAAGTCTAGAGTTACAAAGTTTAATTTTTTTGTTGAATGTTGTAGCGTTTTTAATTATTTAGTATCTAATATTGTAAATATAGTATGAACCCTGATGAAAAAAGTTTTGAAAAGCTGAACATATAGTACCAGGCGAAACGTGACCTTAATTGATTAGGGTGTCCTGTTTATGCCTTTTTTTATTTATATTCTTCAAAATTTTCGGGTATATGGCTTCCTTACTCTTAATTCTCAAGCATGCTTATATAGATTATTATAAAAAAAAAATACGTATAGTCATTTTGGTTATGTATTTTTTGTACGTTTTCATTTTATATTAAATTACGTTATAATAATTTAACATAAGAAAATAATTTGATCTAGCACATATCATGTTTGATGATGCCATGGAAACGACACAAAGAAAAGAAGGAGGAGAGAAGAAACGAGAACCAAATGAATTTGTCCAACAGTTAATGGAAATAATGTCAGAAGCAGGGATGTAAGTAGTGTTATGCTTTTTTGTGTTTAGAAGCCTATGTTTCTTTATTTGGTTGATACCAATTATTTTATATAAACGTATTTCAAATTTTTTTTTTTAAATAATCAAATAATCAATATTCAACCTCATTGTTACCTGAACCCAATCTGCTCCAGTCAACATTGGTTTGATTAAGAATAATACATAATCCATAATAGGCTTTGTTTGTGACTTGCAATTAAAGTTTATATTTTTGTCTGTATTCTTCAATCGGCATGAAGCGGTGTTGATTCTGGTGTTGGATATAAGCTGTTTGGTCCATTGTTGGAGACCTTAAAAATACTGTGATAATGACGAACACCAATAAAAGTTCTGTCCCTTTAATATGTGTGTAGTGTTTCGTTATTGTTGGATGTGCATCTGAACTGTATATTTTAAATTCCCAGATTTACTGTAACGTCATCTTTAATCAGTGGAAAAAAGTAAAAATATTGCAAAGGTTTTTGAATCAATGCTTATAATGTGGAGTAGGATCTGCTTACCCTTCTGGAGCAACTATAATTACTCCCGGTTTTTTGTTTGATTTGGGTTGCTCAGTATTTTGTATTCTATGTTTGTTTTGTATACTGTTGTTTGTTTGTCTTTTAGTGTTTTCTTTTTTTTTTGCAAAGAAAAATACAAACAGACAAACATGTACATAAAACACAACTTAGAAAACTAAAGACTGAGCAACACGAACCCCACCAAAACCTGGTGGTGATCTCAGGTGCTCCGGAAGGGTAGACAGATCCTGCTCCACATGTATCACCCGTCTTGTTGCTCATGTTAGTACAAACCCAGTAATAAGTCTAATTTGGTAGGTCACATTCGGGAAAAGGGCACGGGTTTGTAGTAACGACATTAGGAACATATCCGCTATCATCTGTGAAACGGATATTCCATAACGGTCAACCAACTCGTGATGGCGTCGCTAAAACTTACGAAGGGATGATTTCAACTTCACCACTTGGAACTGTTGGTTTAATAGCTTCCTTGTAAGCAGCAACCCTCTATCAAGGAAATCATGATAGAAAATACAAGCCCTGGAATATCGTATCAACTGGGAGATATATACTCCGTATGCAGGCGCTACTGGAATGAAAGTGGAATAAAGTAGACATAATGATAGACTAAGGAAACTCACTTGGCAAATTTACTGCTTAATTGGTCATGAGAAGATAACTTCTGCCAAACTTTGCTTCAGATGACTTTGTTAACATTGACTAGGATTCATAAATAGAGCTTTACACAGTTTTGGCTGCTGGATCCCAATTATTGTTATATTAACCCTATTATGACTGGTTTTTTTTTGCTCACGCATTTTTTTCAATATAGTGTAACTATAAACAACTGTCACACAAGACGGGTTTAACTAGCTATAAAACCTGGTTTAACCCACCATTTTCTTCGGAAATTCCTGTACCAAGTCAGGAATATGTTGTTTTTCACTTGTTCCGTTGATTGATAGCGTTTAATTTTGTCAGTTTTTATGGACTTCCCCTTTTTGTACTTGCCTTGGAGTTCTGTATTTTGTTATACTTTTTTTTATACATTTCCCTTCCCAAGGTTGGTTCACTTTGGTCAATCAGTTTGGGAAAAGAAGTTAAAAATTGTGACTTCCTGTTAGTTTTGAATAGTTATAATGGAAGTGGTAAATGAGAATCAAGGATTGCTTATCCCACCTTTGTTAGTTAAACCCAGACAAAGACGACAAAGATACAAACATAATTCCCAAATGGTTTCAATGTGGACTAAACGCCACCATTTCCGCCGTGTTTGCATTCCTACAAACAACAAAAAAAAAAAAATAACGATGGTTTGTAGAGGGTCTTCCGGTTATCAATCCTGTAAAGTTTTAAAAAATTTTGTCATTTCGTTTCAAAGAGAAGATTTTTTCGTTTTGATCATCAGCACGAATGATTACTTCCAGCAGCCTATGGATTTAATCCAATCGAAACAAAATGAGAAATATTTTTACATCATTTTTGTCAATTAGGATTTAAATTGGTTACTCGGCAGGAACAAAGAAATGTTTGTAAATATTTAATGGGAGCTATATTCCACATGCCACAAATTCAAAAATTGATCAAAATTTAATGATGATCCTAGCTAGAGGGTCTACCGATCATCAATCCTCAAAAGCTTCGAAGAAACGTTTAGTGAAGTCTTTTTAGAGGAGTATATAATTTTTTGAAATTGACCAATCAAAATAAAAGATTGCCAATGTTTTAATGCGACTTGAAAAAAAATGAATCGTATGTATAAGACACACAAGTCCTGTCAAAATTGGTTACAACTGACCGAAGGGATTCACAGATGAATAATAATAATGGGAACTATGAAATTATCTCTTTCAAATCTCAAATAACCGTCACTTTTGATTTCTATATTGAAGCCGAAATATGTATCTCGCAAATTACACAATCGACCATCACGCATGGCAGCGATTGCAAATTAGAATTCATATGAATAAATTATTGAGCATTAATTCAACGGAGAAATAGCCACCAGGCAATATGTTTAATTTAAGGCGACATTAGTTTACCGATGTTCATATCTCGTAAATCGAGGAAATATTCGGAAGAGACAAATCAAGGTGACATAACACACAGAAACTGAGGGAATCGCATGAACTCGAACAGGAGCAAAACTGGGGGTGTAGACAGACTAAGCGTCTCTTGCAAAATAGATATTGCTTCAAACAAATTAAACAGTAAAAATGATAATGTTATTTATGATGAGTTTATATACGACGGTTGTACATTCAGGGCCGTTTACCAGGTACCAATCAATCTAGCACCCCCAGACAAGCTTGCTACTCCATATGGTGGACGTTTAGTATGGACATTACCAGGAGAGAATAAGCTTGTGGTGCATCTAAAAGATAAAGAAAAAATTCGGCACAAGAAGAGATGGTCACAGGTATGTATATGAATGAAACTCAAAGTAAAACAAAAACAAACCGAGAAAAAAATTTTACTATCAGATTTAACAGAATGTCTTTATTATGAATACAATGAGACTTTAAATAGTAAACGACATTTATAGGTCACGATACGGTCTCCAACGACGAACAAGTTAAACTCTCTGAATCGACAAAGTGTGATTCAAATTAAAAGAGACACTATATCAACATAAGATAAAACATGAAGACTGTGAAACCATTCAAGTGATTACGTATGTTGGACATATACATACAAAACTGGTTTCTAGTTTTATGATACGGAATTAAAGGTTCCTTGAAGTTACCACAAAAACAAGTTTTAATCAAATTCTAAATACAAGTCATGTATCAAATTCATTTGAAGCCTTCGAATTGGTGGACTATCATTCTATGAGGGTATCATCAGCTCAGTATTCAGTTCTTCGGTACTGACACGATTTATAACAAACCGTTTTAAAACTGTCCGTTCATAAACGAAGAAATCATTAAGAAGCTATTGTTTCAACTCCCTCAGGCAAAGTTTACCTTAGATAGATTTGGCTATTATTTTTTTGTACTTTTTGGTCACATAGCTCTTTATTTTTTTCGGTTCTTATACATCCTTTGTTTTCAAATATTCGGCTCTGAGCTTTCATAATGAAGGCAATCCAGAAAAACACTTCGGCCGTAGGAAATGTATAAGGTGTTGTATTTTTTTTTTAAACAGCATATGCAACACGCATTATAAATTTGAACAAAAACATTTGATTATATTTATATATAGAAAGATAAAAGTTTTACGATGTTTTAACATCTTTTAGAATATATTTATAATATTATCTAAATACCAATATGATTAAACTTTAAGATTTTTTTATGATTGTCGGTGAAACAGAGAAAGGCATGAAAAGGGGTAAAATCCCATACTCATACAATGCTTTACGTGACCTCCTGCCCAATTTTAGGCAAATATTTTTTTTCAAAGCATAAAAAACTGTAATTGCTGAATAACGTTCTCTAAAATATCCCGAAAAGACACTCTAACTGCAAATGAACGTTTTTATTTATAATTTCAATTTTTCATTTATTCTTTTAAATTTCATTTGTCCTATATTTTTTTCTGCCTCCCTCCCCAAACACGTGCTTATTCGGCCGCCACTGACTTTTGTCAAAAGTTAAACTTTCACTCCAGATTTCACGAATAATTAATTTATTGACTTCTTTGTATATAATATTGAGAGTTAGACATTTTTCTTCGACTGCAAGAATTGTGTCGAAGTAATCTATAAGAAAACTTTTACAGTACTGACTTGGCGTAATATAACATTACTGGATTGTAGATCATGTACTTATATTATTTGATTGGCTATAAATTAGTAAACAGCGAGATACAACAATCGAAAGAAAAAGTGAAGGACGATTTTGAAAGTGTGCAGTCAATATTTGATAGGCTCCCATCAAGCTTAGTGCAACAGGTAATAATTCAACTTTCGCCAAAAAGTTTACTACAAATTAGAAAACATGGACATATCATTCAATAAAATAGAAACAGTTGATCAAATGAAATACAAGCAAATGACACTCAAAAATATGCCTCAAAACGATTAATTCTAATATTTTTTGGCATAATTTAGCAGAATACAAAACCATAAATAATGCACCTATGCAATCATCAACTGCTTTTACTACTACTTCAATTAATCTGTTTGCTGTAAACGTTTCTAAAATAAAATAAAAATGTTTTCATTACAAGAGATGCTTAACATGTCGAATCATTTAGCTTCAACTGACTAAATATCATGCGATTTCATTTATTTTCACTTTCGTTTTGCCTGTTTTTGATTTTAACGGTATGACATTAGAGGTTGAAGGAATGCACACGCAACTATCAAAACATGTACTCTACAAAATATTCTATTTCTTTCTATTCACTTTCGAGTTCTTAAAATATAAAAAAAAAAAATTAAAGCCGTGTGATTAACGTTTCAAAAAAGTTGTCAAATTCTAAAGTATATCTCGATTCGACCGTCACTGATGAGTCTTTTGTAGACGAAACGCGCGTCTGGCGTACAAAATTTTAATCCAGGTATCTATGATGAGTTTATCTATAGAATTGTTATAAATGGAATTGACTTCTATTTGAAAAAATACATTTAGAGCTGTTCTTTTCTTTTTTTAACAATGAAGGCGGAGAACACCTATGTTATGGCTTTAGATGGTGATGTCGACTTTTCTCCAGAAGCACTTCAGCTACTCATAGACAGAATGAAGAAAAACACGAAAGTTGGTGCGACATGTGGTCGTATTAAACCAGGAGGGTCTGGTAAGGCACTTGTGAAAATTCCAGAATATGATGGTCCAAGTTGTTTTTAACCTTAAACAGTTATTAAAAGGTTAAATAGTTAAAATATTTTACAGCATATTGTAATTTTGAAAAATTCAATTTCAAATATGTTGACAAAAAAATAATCCAAACGAGACTGGTAATATGAAAGTTACTTTTAAACATTTGAAATTTTGAAATGTCAAACAATGTACGTTGTAAATATATGTCTTCTTTCATAAATTAGGTCCAGTTGTGTGGTACCAGAAATTTGAATATGCTATAGGACATTGGTTACAGAAATCAGCAGAGCATGTTTTTGGTTGTGTGCTTTGTAGTCCAGGATGTTTTAGTCTGTTTCGAGCTAAAGCTTTGATGGACGATAACATAATGCGAACGTATGCCAAATTACCGACAGAACCCAAACATTATTTGCAATACGATCAAGGTAAGGGTACAACCATTTGATTTTTTCTTGCGGGACAAGAAAAAATGTATTTGAGATTTCTTAACGACCTCCAAAGAATTTGGTCAATATCGCACATGATAAAGGATACTTCCATGAAGTACATTTAAAACATATTTCTGTTAATCCTAAAATAAAAGTGCCTTTTTGGCTTGATAGACATATGCATAAAAAGTATAACAATATTTTTGTTGATACATTGTTGTGTTTTTATTTTAAAGGACTAATATCCTCTTAATACAGAACTTGATATACACTACTGTAATTATGTATACTATTTTCTCTAATTCTTCGTCAATTTATCCCTTTCTGCACCCATTGTATATAAAAAAATTAATCAACGTGTGGTTCGTTTGATCTCAGTTCTTCATTGGTTAAAATCCGATTATGACGTCGAATTTTCTTGCTTTCCTCTGAATTTCCTATTGTGACGGCATGAAAAAAGGCGACCATGCCTGATGACGTCACATAGAAAGAACACATCTTTTTGCAGATCATTCGAAAAGAAGGAATAAATTTGCCTGCGTATTGTTTGAAAATCATTAGAGAAACAGATTCCACCACCAAATCTCGTGTAATACGATATTTATCCACTCTCGACAGTTAAATTTTAAATATTTAAAACGCTCGTCGAGCCTCGCGTTTTAAATTTGAAAATTTAACTGTCTCGAGTGGATAAATATCGTATCACACTCGATGCAGTGGTAGAATCTATATTTACAGAGACACAAAGCATTTTCTGTACATTTAGTTCTTATATATATACTTTAAACAGTGATATCAATTAATATATTGGTTTTCTATATTTCATATTCCTTAAAATTGATATTAGATTTTTTTCTTAAAATGAATTTTACCGTACGTTCTTCTACATATATATTCATCTTGTTATTTCACTGAGGAGCTAAAAACAAAACCACCCTATTAAATAGTTTATTTCTGCCTCCTATAAGTTTCAATTTCAGGAACCTAGCTCATAAAAAAAACTGAAGTTCATAAAAGGCATTTTCTTAAAATACATTTACATTATATTTTTTTTTATCAGACTGTAGTCTTTATGGTAAATTTGTTGGATATGTATTAATTGATATTTTTAATTTGCGATGACATGATTTATTTACAAGTTGTAATTGACTTTGAGCTAGCTTTTAGTAACTGCAAGTACTCTAAGATCTGTACTTTTTTGCACCTAAGTCAGGAGCCTGTTGTTCAGTGGTTGTCGTTTGTTGGTGTGGTTCATAGGTGTTTCTCGTTTCTCGTTTTTTATATAGATTAGACCGTTGGTTTTCCTGTTTGAATTGTTGTACACTAGTCATTTTGGGGCCGTTCATAGCTTGCTGTTCGGAAGGCCATACTTGACGTATAATTGTTAACTTTTTATACATTGTGACTTGGATGGAGAGTTGTCTCATTGGCACTCATACCATATCTTCTTATTTATTTTGTTTCTTTTGTCGTTTAGTTTTTGTGCTTCGTTTAAATCTGATGAATCAAGCTATTTCCAACTGGTGTACAGTTTATCTTTATGCTGTTTTGTCACATAATGTCCGTATAAGGGAGAAGGTAGAGTGCTCACAAACATGTTTCAGCTCGACACACTCTGAAATTGAGTGTTTGTCGTTGGTTGCTTGTGGCTTATTTGATTTTTCGTTTATCACTTTTAGAATAAAAAGGCGATTGTTTTTCTCATATGAATTGTTTCATATTTTGTCATGTCGGGAACTTTTATAGTTTACTATATGGTATGAGTTTCGACCACCGTTGAAGGTCGCACGCTGACCCATAATTGGTTACAACCGAGTCTTTTGGTCTTTGGTGGATAATTGTCCCATTAACAATCATAGCACTTCTCATTATTTCTATACCAAAACCTTTCAAAGGTCGAATAGAAAACGGCGTGTCTAGATATAATGCAGTCAACACTATCTACTGTGTACACCCGTCTATTGGCTTATTAGTTTTTTGTATCTGGTTATATTTTTGTCTTATGGTTTTGGAATCATTGCGTTTCAGAAGTTTCCTAATAATTATATGAATCAAAAATTTTATAATATCTAGTGCAAATAATTTTTTTTCTTTGCTAAATCCTTATACAAACTTTTCAGGTGAAGATAGATGGCTCTGCACGCTCATGTTACAACAAGGTTATCGTATTGAATACTGTGCAGCTGCAGAGGCATTGACGTTTGCACCAGAGGAGTTCCGAGAGTTCTTCAATCAAAGAAGAAGATGGATGCCATCTACTATGGCAAATATATTAGATTTACTTATGAGCTACAATCAAACGACCAGAAACAATCCGAACATATCATACCTTTATATCTTCTACCAGGTAGTTTTGTTCCTGTCTTCTGTCTTGGGTCCATCTACTGTTTTACTTGCAATGCAATCAGCGGTCAGAACTGTTTTCGGCACCTCGGCTGTAGTTGCATACATCGTTACATATGGACCAACAATTCTTTTTATTTTTATTTGTTTAAAGTTCAAATCACAGACACAGCTAACAATAGCTATGATATTGAGTGCAATATATGCCATGTTAATGATGGCGGTTATAGTCGGAACCATTGTAAACATTTCAGAGGAAGGGTTTTTTACTCCGTCTGCTGTGTTCATGTATGTCTTAGTAGGCGTTTTTCTAATAGCGGGATTTTTCCATCCCCACGAGCTAACTGATTTGTTTTGGGGAGTTCTGTATTTCATATGCATTCCTGCTGGCTACTTATTCTTGATTATCTACGCGATTTGCAATTTAAATAATGTTTCTTGGGGAACAAGGGAAACACAAACGGCTGTTTTAGAAAACCAAGTACAAAGAACTCAAAAGAAGACTACTGAGGACGAACTGGGACTTGTTTCAGGTGAAGTCATACATGATATTCTTAAGCAAGTTAAATCTAGCAAAATCAAGGATGTTTCATGTCGAGATTTAGTACCGTCAATTTTTCAGTGGATTAATAACTTGATAATCTTGCGTTCTTTAGAAAGCGTGGTAAGTATTTTTAAAAATGTCGATGGAGAAGAATATGATAACGCACCAATAATGCAGAAATCAATGAGACGAAAAAAAAGGAAAGAGTCGACCGAAGAGGATATTAAAGTTGACGAAGTTTCTTGGGCAGAAGAACATGGAACAATTAAACGCCTTAAGCAGGATGAAATTAATTTTTGGAACGAACTGATTGTAAACTATCTTCAACCATTGAATCCAGATGAAAAGAAAGAAAAGGCAGTTGCTGAGAGTCTGAAAGACTTTAGAAATAAAGTAGCATTTGCATTCTTCTTCGTAAATGGTCTATGGCTTGTTATAATGACGGCAATGAATGAAGTTAAAGCAGTTTTGAATATTAATATACCAACAGTTGATGGTAGTACAATTACTATTGAACCACTTGGACTTCTCTTTTTAGTCATATTCGCTATTTTATTATTTATGCAATTCTTTGGTATGATCCGCCACCGATATGGAACATTCTTGCAACTTCTTGCGGCAACAAATTTGAGAAGTAGAGATTCTGATCCAGAATCAGTCATTCATAAAATTAAAGAAATATCTTTTTCTTCGGAACCAGATTTCGTTGTTCATAGTAATAGAAAACCCGGTAGTAAATCATACGAAACAAACGTCTCACCGGAAGAAATAGACGATATCTATGAAAATTTTGCTCACCACAAGAGGGCGAAAAATATAGGAAAGTCTATCAAAAGACCAAGCCCAAATTTAAGCAACAACCCTTTCGACTTTAAAAAAACATTCCGACAAAACGTACGTCACATGACGCGTAAAAACAAAGACCACACAATGAGAATTGCCTCAGTTAGCGAAGAAAGGTTATAAATCCTGATTAACGTATTTTCAATAGAAACTGACGAGTTGAAATGTTGATAAGTTAATGTTTGAACAGAAAATCACATATATTATTTGCAAAATCCGTTACTGGTACATCCAGTAAAATATAATAATAAAAGACGATGCATGTATACAGATTCGTTCATAAAATATATTTAATGAAATCATACATTCATGAAATTCGAGCAGGCTTTTTAGTCTAGATTGTGTTTTGGTTTTAATGCTCCGCCTACGATATGTCATCGGTCTGAGAATCCGTCACTCCGCTCCACTGTCCCGTATTAGTTTCACGTTGTGATTTTAGATGGTTCACCATGAAGTTGTTGTCACATATGTGAAAAGTATATGCAAAATAAGGGTTATCACATTGATTTTTACGGTATACACAACAAAGTAATGAGATAGGTTGAGCAAATGTGTCCCATGAACACAATTTCTTATATAGCAGATATATCTTTTCAATCTCGTATGAAAATATACTTATTTATGGCTTTTCTAATTTCAATTATAAGTATGAAACCTATTAATAATGCTGTAATCCAGATACATGTTTTATATATATGTTATAACTTTCAGTTGTATCCAATAAAATTATACATCTTTTCTTTCTAACCTTTCCGAGTAGTAAATAAAACTTTATTTTAAGCATTAAAACAATAAAAAACATATCATCCTAGCAAACGCGAATTTAGACAAAGATATATTCAATTTCACCAGGACAGTTTAAATAGAGAGTCGAAAGATACCAAAAAGTTGATAACAAAAATACCGAACTCAAAGGAAAATTCTAAATAGAAAGTCCCTTATTAAATGACAAAATCAAAAGCTCAAACACATCAAACGAATGGAAAACAACTGTCATATTCCTGACTTGGTACAGGCATTTCCTTGTGTAGAAAATGGTAGATTAAACCTGGTTGTATAGCTAGCTAAACCTTTCACTTGTATGACAAAGGAAATTCAAACTCGAAAATAAACTGACAACGCCTTGGCTAAAAAGAAGCAAAAAGACCAAAAAGAGCAAACAACAGTACACAAAACACAACACAGAAAACTAAAGACCGAGCAACACGAACCCCATCAAAAACTGGAAGTGATCTCAGGTGCTCCGGAAGGGTAAGCAGATCCTTATAAACGATTCGTCTTTCCAAACCAACAAATTGACATAACTTATCAATTATGTATGTTGATACATTAAACATAGCAATGATTGTTACAACTAGAGACAACGCAGCTAAATTGTATATCGACGGAAAGAAGAGAATGTGAACATTAAGATCAGTTTGGTGGTAAAACCCAGAGTGGTCACATTTTTGTGAAATTGAGATCAAAGGTCAACTTTTCCATCTAAAAATCTGCCAACTTTAGGTTTTAAAGTTTTAAGGTGACTACCCAAAACCATTAATTGAGGGGTACCCCTTAAACGGGCTAAAATACAAAAATGTGATCATAGAAACTCTGTACCAATAGACGAAAATTAAAATATTGATACATTTGTATGCATGATAATGAATATTAATGTAATTCTAAACAAAATTTCGGGTATTTGTTGATCCTTTTCATGTCATTAAACTTACTGGAATATTGAAACTATTTACGTCTTCATGTCGCTCATTTCTCTTTAAAAAGTAAAATGTAACTTAGCAGAGAAAAACGTATTGCCAAACGTCTGTGTGTATAACATAGATGCATTTTAATCAACGAAATCTTAATTTTATGTTTTTTATTTTCAAAAATACGATAAGGAGCAACTGTATATTTACGTATAAATAGACAATATTTTGTTAGACACATAGTGCTTATTCAAAAAGGGTGTAATAGTGTATTTCCATAAAAAGAAAACCACCTGTTAAAATACTCTCCTTGATGTTGTCTAATATACATATATATAATATATATATATATATATATATATTCATAAAATAAATAGTAAAATAAGTAAACAAGTTAACAGTTCCAGTTCTATCGATTTCATCCTTCCATTGGGACTCTTCAGGATAACTGATTTAACGTCGTTATGGGCGACGTCGTTGAGGAGGTTTGTGACTTTGAAATAAAATCTTGCGGAGATTCAAGATGCGGTGTTTGCGGTCAAGATTTCAAATATTTGGAAACAGGCAAAATGAAAACATTAAAAGATGGAAGAAAATTTCACGTGAACGCCAATATGACTTGTAAGACAACAAACCTTATTTACTGCGTCACGTGTCCTGGTTGTCACGAACATTATATTGAACAGACCGGGAATAGCCTCTGTAAACGGGTGCACGTTCATAAAGAACAAATAAAATACCCACAATACAGAAACTTGCCAATTAGTGCCCATCTTGACATTTGTGGTAAAAAACAATTTCAAATAATGCCTATTTGTAAATGTAGACGGGATGAAGCCTATCGAAAGGAGATGGAACGTTATTTCATACAACGTTCCGATCAAGATTAAATCCCGAGAACTTTTAATTATGAACAATGCCGGAACGTCACAAGCCTCCTTAACGACGTCGCCCATAACGACGCTAAATCAGTTATCCTGAAGAGTCCCAATGGAAGGATGAAATCGATTGAACTGGAACTGTTAACTTGTTTACTTATTTTACTATTTATTTTATGAATATATATATATCTGCACATGTGAAAATTATTTTTTTACGCATATATATATATATATTCATACTTCGTCTCAAATTTAGGCCAACAATGTTAGATCAGTAATGAGGATCTTCTTCCTTACTGGCGTAGCAAATTTGTGTTCATCCCTCAGCGGGATTCGAACCCCTGCATCTGAGACATCATTGCAAAACCGCCTCGCTGTGTCCATGAATATATATATATATATATACGTCTAGATATGTGACAACTTTTCGACAGACGTTCTCCATCGGTTAACCTGTGGCAATATAGGGCTAAACATAATTTACATATACTTCGTTTCAAATTTAGCCCAACAATGTTAGATCTTCAAATCCTCGGTTTTCAACCTTTCTATCGACTGCGAGTCGCTTCCAAGTATCCATCAGGCATGTTTCTGGATTACCAATACTACCGTCTGACTTTGCAACCGCAACGCACCCGATTGTGACAATCCCGCCTGTCAAATTTGCAATTTTATACACATTCATGAGGAATGCATTGTTCGTCACGTGACAACTGATGACATTCTTAACGGAACCGCTAAACTTCCTTTTACAAGCCGGGCAGCATGGCTGTCAAACTAGGTTGAGTGTTCAGACCTCCGGCGAACTGTTGCTCACTTACGTCAGGGGACCAGACCCTCTAAGAAACTTACAAATACAAAGGACATAAAGCGATACCTGAATGTAGCGTCGTTAGCTATTGACGGGTTATTGGTAGTGAAAAGAAACCTCCCGTTTGCACCTTGTCGAGAATTAATAATTGCACCACGCCAGGTACTAGATGGATTAATAACTCCAATTCACATTAAAATTGACCATCCGTCGTGTTACCAGATGAAGTCTATATTACAGCAATACTTTTTATGCATTAGACATGGACAAGGCAATCGAATCTGTAACTAGTAGGTGTCACCAGTGTGCTTCTTTGTTAAAAAATTCCAAAGTCCGCGAAGAGCAGAATTCATCAGATCCTCCCGAAACTATTGGTTCTTCTTTTGCCGCAGATGTCCTAAAACGTGAGCGTTAGGTGGTTTTTGTTTTACGAGAATGTGAAACGCCCTACACCTTTACAAAAGTGCTAGACACCGAGTGCCATCACGATTTACGAGATGCCATTATTCAACTTCTTGCTGAAGTTCTCCCCCTCGACAGCCCGCACGCTGTTATCAGGACCGACCATGCGTCTGCCTCTAAAACATATCTTAAAGACGAGATGTTAGCTAGAAAATTATAGAATTAGGGCGCCCTAAAAATCCCGTTGCTGGGAAAGCTATCCAGGAACTGGAACTGGAAGATGAAATACTTCGATCGAACCCATCAAGCCCTGTGCTAACACCATTAACGCTTTCACTTGTAACAACTCAAATGAATACCCGCATTCGCAATCGAGGACTATCTGCACACGAAATGTGGACACAGAGAGATCAGTTTTCGAAAAATCAAATACCACTTACCGACCAAAACCTAATAATCGCTCAACACGAACAAAGATTAAAGAATTATCCAAACAGCGAGAAGGCAAAATGTCCCGCAGGCAAAATACCCGTGTGTCCGGATTTAAAAATTGGTGACATAGTATATCTACGATGTGACTTCAACAAAACTTAGTCACACGATAGATACCTAGTAGTAGCTGTGGATACCCCATGGTGCAATATTCATTGGATCACAATCAATTAAGACAAAATTCTTATTGTGTAAAGTGTTCTGATTGCTACAAAGTTTCTTATGAGCTTTCACAACTACAAAACGTTCAGCATCTACCTCCGCATTCTGACGACGACGACGATGAAAAATTGAACGACATCTCCTCACCTCCATCTGTGCCGATAATACCTAAAGCTATATCCGACCTTCCAATATTGCCGTCAGTAATATCGCATTCACATGTTAATCCTATTTTCAAAGGAAAAGGTAGTCCATACTCAGCTCTTGACTCTCGCCCAATTTCTGTTACTAGTATTGTTTGTAAGATTATGGAAAAGGTTAAACACTTGTATGATTATATGAGTATTAACCTTTTGTCAAAGTTTCAATCTGGATTCCAGCCAGGTGACTCTACTGTTAATCAGTTAATTGAAAAATATCATAAAATTATCAGTAATACGAATAGTAGGAGGGATGTAAGGTTTGTATTTTGTGATGTATTTAGAGCTTTTGATAAAGTTTGGCATAAAGGACTTTTATTTTAACTTAAACAATCTGGTTTAAATGATCAGCTCTTATCTTGGATAGAAAGTTATCTTTCAGGTCATCACCAAAAGGTAGTTTCAGAAGGCTTTTCATCAACTCTTAGAAGTATACATGCAGGTGACCCTCAGGGATCAGTTTTGGGACCCTTTCTGTTTCTCATTTATATAAATGATATAGTAAATGACATTGTTAATGATATTAGACTTTTTGCAGATGATTCTTCTTTATTTGTTATAGTAGACGATGATCATTCTGTAGCAGCTGCTTCTTTGACTGATGACTTAGATGTTATCTCAAATTGGGCAAAATCATTGGCTGTTCAATTTAACCCAAAGAAAACAAAACAATTGTATTTACTAGAAGGGAAAGGGAGCATCCACCTGCCTTTTTTGGGGATAAATGGTGAAGAGGTTGAGAAAATAAATATTCACTGTCATCTTGGGATAGCATTTCAGTCATCAGCTTCATGGAACACACATATTGATAATATTTATAAAAAAACATGCTCTCGTTTATCTGTGCTTCGACAAGTTAATATTTATTAGACAGGAATTATCTTATACGTATTTATTATGCTTTTATTAGACCTATATTAGAGTATGGGGATGTAGTTTGGGGAAATTGCTCCCAGCACGAGTCTGAGCTTCTTGAAAATATTCAAATAGAAGCTGCTAGAATAATTACTGGACTACGGCGTAATTCCTCAAGACA